AAAGGATAATGAGGATGCTGCCCAAGATCCTAGACCCTGCCTTCCAGTGTCACCTATGCTCAAGTGATCAGGGCAAGCTCAGAGAGTCCCTGTTTCCTCCACAGCCCCCAAAGTCAATAACAACATTGTTGCCTCTGTGAATCCACGATCAGCTTCCTTTCATTAACCCCACTCCCTCCCCAGGAGCACCAGCAATAGCTACCTCATGGGAGCCAGCCTTCCAGCCAACCTACCTGGAACCCCAACTCTAACTACCCTGCCCGTGGTCAGCGTATTTCTGGAAAAGGTTGAATTCCAGAGAGGAGGTTTCTTTGGGGCTTAGAGGGATGGTAGGGTTGGGGTAAGGAAGGGGCTATGTCCCACTCCCTTCCTGCTTGTCCAGTTCCTGACATCCCAACTGAGAAGCAAAGAGTGACCACAGCAGCTTTATAAAGCATGGTTTGATTTTTTTTAAAATTATATTTTTTTATTTTTTCTTTCCAATTCACTTTTTCCAATTAAAAAAATTCTTATTTTTGTCATATTTTGTTTCTGTATACCTTTATTTCTGTATACAGCTTTTCCCCCTTACCTATCAAGCCATCCCTTGTAACAAAGATTGAAAATAAAAAAAAAAAGCTCAGCATATCTGATAATACAGGTAACATTATACTTCCATAGGTCCCCACCAACACATAAGTGGTACAGACATTTCCTGCAGTTTCTGAATCTTCTGCCAGGATACACAGGGCTAGCTCATGGACTGTCTTTCAAAATTCTTATCAACATGCAGCAGCTCTAAAGGTATTTCCTGGTCTTTCTAAATACCCCTTTGGAAACACTAACACCTGCTTCCCCTTGGAGCTCCACTGATTGTGGGCTTGGAGCAATCTGAAGCAGAGGGGGATAAAATGGAGACAACGTATCACGGAGGTTTTACTCTGTCCCTGGACACAATGGATATGGAAGCAGCTGATGGTGGTCCCAAAGGGAGGTGCTTAGGAGAACCAGGAAGTACCCTTAGGACTTGTGGGTGTTGATAGGTGGTTTGGGAGACAGTCCATGAGCTATCTCTGTGGTATTCTGCCAACAGACACAGAAACTGTAGGGAGCACACACTGTGAATATGTTGGTATGAGATTAGGGTGTAGGCAGGACAGGTGTTTTCTGGAGAAGGAAATGGCAAAGCACTCCAGTATCTTTGCCAAGAAAACCCCATACGGGGTCATGAAGAGTCAGACATGACTGACTGATTGACAAGGGCAAGAGTGGACACAGTGGTTCTACGCTCGGGATTAGTGAGAGAGTGAAAGTCCGCCTGAAGAGAGCAGGAATGTGGAGCAGAAGAGCCCAGGCAGTGTTTTTTAGTCCAGCAAACGAAGTCAGAATGGTGACTGTGTAGGGAGGTAAGGTGGTGTGTGACCCAGTCACTAATAATGTTCCCCTCACACCAAACTCACAGAGCTTACAGAGTGAGCTACGATGAACAGCTGTAAGATCAGATTCTGTTTAGTGTCGTGTATTTGAATTATGGGTTTCTGAGCTCCCTCCTGGGCTCTGTTTCTGCCAAAGATGGCCTGGAGGCATAGGGTGGTACAGTTTGACTTGGACACTGGCCATCATGATAATCCTTCTCTAGCATTCCATCTTCTTTCCCAAATTCCTCAAAACCTGCTAACCTTTAGCTGTGGAGCACCTAGGCCATCTGCATTTCTAGAACTGAGCCTTGAACTGACTTCTGTCAGTATTAGTGGTCATTCATCCCTTGCTAAAGGTCTAGCACTAGAAGGACCAGGACCATTAACTCATGCAAAAATATATACATATATAATTTGTTTTGAAATAAAAACTTTCATTCTATCTCTACTTTCTTTGCCTTATGGGTTGTGTGTGTGTGTGTGTGTGTGTGTGTGTGTGTGTGTGTGTACTGCTCCAATTGCCATAGCCTCATTCTTTGAGCTATTCTTAAATTTTGGTCCTTCGAGTACTAGTCACAAGGCATCTAGATGGTGCAGTAGATAGATGGTCAGGCCTGGAGTCAGGAAGACCTGAGGTCAAATCCTGTCTCAGACTATCTGTGTGACCCTGGGCAAGTCACTTTACCCTGTCTGCCTTAATCCACCGGAGAAGGAAATGGCAAACCACTCTAATATCTGTTCCAGGAAAACTCCAGATTGGGTCATGAAGACTTGGACAAGATTGAAAAATGAACAACAACAAAATCCATGCACACCCACACACACACAACTGTAGCTGCCTTTAAAAACTATTTACTGTCTTTTGGGTCCTTTTCCTTGTCTATAGATACATCTAGTTCATGACCATTTCTTAATGGGACCAACATAATGGGACCTGTTGAATGCTTCTGATTTTTTCTTTTTCACCTCTGAATTTTTCCTGTAGAACTTTCAGATAATCAAATCTTTAGAAGAAAGAATCTTTCTAATCCAATTGTATTCCTTGCATTACACATGGATCATACTTATTTGACCCTAATGCCTCCTGGCTGTTGTTTCCAAACTTTAGGACTCAATCCTTAACTCTGTCCTGTTCAAGGACATCTTTAATAATTAATTGGATAAAGACACAGATAATATGTTTATCAAATGTGCAAAGGATGAATATTGGATGGAAGAGCCACTGTGATATTTGACAGAATCAAAATTCAAAGTGATCTCAACAGGGTGGGGGTAACTCAATAAATTTGTCCTCTAAAATTGTTGGAGAATGAGAACATTTCAAGATTAACAGAGTATGGAGGACAGCAGAAACTCTTTGCGAGTCAAACATTTTATTTGAGCCATTTCTTCTCTATTTTCCTTCTCTTTTGCTTGTTTGTTTCCATGCAATATTAGAAGACCTAGATATAATAACACCAGTTTCAAAAGCTTCTACTACAGAGGCTATAGATCCTATTACTGTAGCTTTAAGACCTAAGTGAAATATTTAAGATTCAACAGTTGGGGCTAGAAGTTTTTGGGAAAACTGAGAAGAGAGAATAAATGGAGATGATATGTGAGAAACTATACAGATGAAAGAGGGAAAGAGAACTAGGAAACGAATTTCTTGGAAGAACTGTCTTAGTTATCTTATGAACCATTATGGAGATAATTTTATGAGTCATTCTAGAGAGATACTATTAAGAGTTATGGCATAATGGCAATAACCAACATTTATATAGCACCAACTATGTGCCAAGCACTGTGCTAAGAGCTTTAACAAATATCCTCTCATTTGATCCTCAAAACAACCCTATGAGATAGGTGCTATTATCATCCCCATTTTACAGATGAAGAAACTGAGGCAAACAGAGGTTAAATGACTTTGCCCAAGGTCACACACACAGCTAGTAGTGTCTGAGGCCATATTTGAACTCAGGTTTTCCTGACTCTAGGGCCATCACTCTATTAACTGTATCACCTAGCTGCCTTGAGGGAAGCTGTTTTCCTGTCACACCTGGAGAGAAGCTGGAATAGACAGAAAGGGAGAAGATGGAAAGGTTTCCTCTCTTAATGGAACTGTTTTAACCTAAGAATTATCCTAAGAATTCTCGAGAAGAGACTTTGCTCGGTATTTTGAGTGAACTGAACTGTGGGGCCAATTAATAATAAGGTGAAGTCATCTATAGTTACAGCAGTGTTAGCAGTGATTCTGGCTGTGGTCTTTCTTAAAGATAAAATATGACATAAGGTTATTTATGTCTGTGTTATTTGACTACATTGTTAATAAAACACATAAGAAATTAGGAGTTTTGTAGGGATATGAACAACTATTTATGGGTTAAGAGATTTCTCCAGTTTATTAAATCATATATAATAAACTGTGGTGGGGGTAGGGTCTGAGATAATTAATAAGAAAGAGGTTGATATATTATTAATTAGTGAGAAACAAACATATCCTTATTATTAGCTTAGGGTTTGGGATAATGAGAATGAATATGATAATGAATCAAGTAAGCAACAGGCGGGGAGGTCACACCACAACCATGTTTCACAGAGAAAGTTCCAGAGCACACTGGGTAAAATCCTCATAGAATATTTATGGAAGAATATGGACATGGTTTGCAGAACATTTGCAAAGGATGGAGAGGCACAGATGGACTTCAACCATACCACTGGAGGAAGTATTCATTTAAATGAAATGAAAGATCCATTTCAACATTAAGATCTTCTGCCACTTCCACGTCTTTAAGATTTGTGTGAAAAGACCAACCACTGAACGGTCAGTAAGAGCCCTCTTTTTCCTTTTTTTTTCCGTGAGTCAAATAATCTGAGTAAATTGGGTCAGGTATAACGTTCAGATCCTCCCCTTTTCTCAGTTATTTTGGTTACTAGGCATTCAGGATCTTCTTTGCTATCGTAGGCCTTTTTCCTTCTATGGCATCAACTCAGTTCAGAGACATTTGAGATGCCTTAAGGGACTGACATCAAACTCAAATAGAAATGGATCCCTGTAGTCCTATGATTTAGAAGACTGCAAATTATAGACTACAGTCTACATGTAAGGATGACGTCTATAGGAGTCATTCACCCATCATCTGTGTTGTATGGTATTTTTATTGATTTTGTTAAACATTTCCCAATTATATTTTAAATTGGTTCTGGCACTGGGCCGCAGGGGTATTTGACACCTCTGCCTTAGGATACTAGAGGCCTGCTACTTTAACATAGATTGCTTATGCCCACATGTTTTGCTGTCCATTCATATACTGTTTTAAATTATATTGTCCCTTCTGGGACATGTTTCATAACCTAGGCTAAAAACTACTTGACAATAGGAAATATCTGTTATTTTCTTTCTACAGAATCTAGTACAGTATAACAAACAATTAAGTGCTTAGAATGCTCTGTGATGATAAGAATTATTTTTGACATGGTTTTAGTCAGTACTTCTACCAACTTGATTCCATTTGATATTAACATAAGTGAAAATTATCTATCTTATTTTATGCTTAAAGTATGCTGACGGTATGTGTATTTATCTATGACAGAACTCATTTTTTTGTCCCCTTCCTCACTTACCATGTATGAGCTCTGGGCAATTTCTCAGGGCTTCCCCATTGCTCTATTGTAAACAGCTGAGGACCATTTGAACCTAGATTAAAGAAGAAAATACAATTTAACATGTATTAGTGATGGTAGAATTAATCTGAAAAGTGAAAAACGCATGAGAAGAAAAGAACAGTGGAGAAAATCAATCTACTTAGGGTCATGGTAAAAAACAAACAAACAAACAAAAAGAGGGGTATGGCCTCCAGGCCTATTCTTTAGATTGCCTCCTTGGTTGCAATATGCTATTTAATGTCTGGTTAAATAAAATCCTTATATAAATTCACAACATAAAATTTATATTATTTTCAGTATGGAGTTTCCCCAAAGTCTCATAAGCAGGCACATATTCTTTAAAAAGAATGATAGTTTGGAAAAAGTATAAATTTTTTTTTCCAATCTCAGTTATAAGATAATGGGAGAGGGTACATTTGTCACAGTATTGATGGACAATATAAATAGTTTTGAAGATGTGCTTGTATGTCCTGATACCTTTAAGTTGGAAGTGAGTACTTTAAATTAAACACTACTTCTTTAAAAAAAATGTAATAAACCCTCAATGTGTGGAATAGGTAAAGCTTTGTTTATTTACAATTTTAATACGTTGTAAACAATGAAAAACTCAATCTTCTGGCGATGGTACAATCACTTATTCCCTCTAGTTCATGGCCACATGAGAGGTTCCTAAGTCTGATTATTCTGTTTCTTTTCATTAATAACAAAACCAAGGCACTTTACATGAAGACAGGAATTATTAGGTTAAAATGTATAAAGACTTCTATATAATGAAATGCATTTACATGAGACCTACACAAAATAAATTTCTGAGAACACAGAAAATATTAAGCTTGGTTAAGAAGTCTAGAGGAGGGGCAGCTAGGTGGTGCAGTGGATAGAGCACTGGCCCTGAAGTCAGGAGGACCTGAGTTCAAATCTGGCCTCAGATACATAACACTCACTAGCTGTGGGACCCTGGGCAAGTCACTTAACCCCATTGCCTAACCAAAAAACAAAACAAAACAAAGAAGTCTAGAGGAGGCATCATCTACCCTCAGGCAGCTCCATCTTGGAAAACACATTGGCATGGGTTTCCAGGAAAAGTTTTCACCCATTACATTCTCTTACTTACCATAAAGTTCAGCAAATCCATTCATAGGCACTCGGGATGTCCCCGTAACGAACTGCAGTAACCGGATACGCTTCTCAGCATCCATCAATAATACGGCCTATTAACAGACACATATGGTCATTATGTCTCCTATGCAGTACTGCAGCACTTGCTGCTGTAACTTAGACTTTCAAAAAATCATTTTATTTATACTGTAATATAAGACCTAGACAGTCGAGTCTAGGTCTGAAAATTGAGTCATATTTTTGAATGTCGCCATAATACCAGCCTTTCTAATCTTAGAAAGAGATCAAATATTCACAATGTCTCTTCTGTCTGCCAATAAGTCAAAATGCATTATATAAAAAGCTAACATTGATGGCGTCATCACCCTTATGATTCTGTCTATAAGGCTTGGTGATCCCCCCCCACCCCAAGGTCAATTATAAACACAAGATATTACGTAAATTTGACCAGCAACAGAAACACAAGGTACAAACCTGGGTTACCTATTTGAGAAACCTCTAATCAAACGGTACTTAAACTTTGTGTGTCCGATACCCCCTTCACTGTCTATTGAAGCCTACTGAAACCCTTCTCAAAATAATGTTTTTAAATACATAAAATAAGATATATAGAATAATAAAAGAAAACAATTCTATTGAAATCGTCATCAAAATATGAAAAAAAAAAGATAAGCTCAGACACCTCAGGTTAAGAACCCCTGCTCTAATCAATGGTTACAAAAATGAAAGGAATGACATTCTTTAAAATCTGACCATCCTCAGTCTATCAACATTCATTTTCAAGTACTGACTATGGGTTGGGTTTTGTGCTAGTTAGCTGAGATTATAAAGATAAAAGCAAAATAGCCCCTGTCCTCAAGGAGCTTACATTCTAACAGGGAAGACAAAACACATACCTAAAAAGGTATGCATAATATACTGACAAAGCAGATATAAGGTAACAGATGGAGAGTATTATCAGTGTGGGATCCAAGAAAGCTCCTGTAAAAGGTAAGTGTTTGAACTTCTGAATCCTGAGGGAAACCAGGGATTCCAAGAGGTAGAGGTCTGAAAGAGAGGCCATTTCAGGTATCAAAGAGCAAAGTTAGGGAGATGGGAGAATGGTGGTGGTGGTAGGGTCGTCACATATCAAGAATAACAATGAAGTGAGGATGACTGGACTAGAGTATATAGAGGCGTAATAAGTATAATATAATGTGCAACAGAGTATAATGGCAGCTAGGTGGTGCCATAGTGCACAGAGCGCTGGGCCTGTAGTCAGGAAGACTCATTTTCTTGATTTCAAATCTGGCCTCAGACACTGAATAGCTGTGTGACCCTGGGCAAGTCACTTAACCTCATTTGCCTCAGTTTCCTCATCTGTAAAATGAGCTGGAAAAGGAAATGGCAAACAATTTCAGTATCTCTGCCAAGAAAACTCCAAATGGAGTCATGAAGAGTTGGACACAACTGAAAAATGACTGAACAACAACAATAGAATATAAAAAGATGTAATAAGATAAAATGAAGCTGTAAAGATAGGATGGTGCCAGGCTGTGAAGAATTAATTTAATTTGGCATTAAATGCCAAAGGGAGGTGTTTACAACTTGATCATAGAGGTAACAAGGAGACACCACAGTTTATCAAGCAGGATAGTAACATGATCAAATTTGCACCTTAAGAAAATCCCCTGGGGGCAGCTAGGTGGCGCAGTGGATAGAGCTCCAGCCTTGGAGTCAGGAGGACCCAAGTTCAAATGTGGCCTCAGACACTTGACACAAACTGTGTGACCCTGGGCAAGTCACTTAACCTCAATTGAGAAAGAAAGAAAGAAAGAAAGAAAGAAAGAAAGAAAGAAAGAAAGAAAATCCCTTCAATGGCTATGTCAAGGGTAGTTTGGAGTAGAGAGAGACTATGCAAGAGATGATGAGGGCCTGGCTGGCTGCTGTGTGAGTAGAGAGAATGGAACCTATGAGAGATATTAGAGAGAGAAACATTTGTTGGAACGCTGCTCTCCTCATTGTGCATGCTACTAATGCTAAGTCAGGTCAAAATACAAAGCATATTATAGGGAATGAAATCTTTATACTTCTGGTTTATCAAAAGAGTAGGAAAAGAAAGGAAAGGAAAATTCTTTATACTTAAACTATGGTTATACCATCATCTAATCACAAGACTGGGATTTCAAGTAGTTTCTCTGCAATCCATACCCTCTGTGTCTCCTTTGGTATTCAAAAATATAATAAAGGAAAAATAAAAATGAGTGGTTTGCTTATTTCTCATTTTGCAAACATGCAGTCTTTTGTTGACTACACTTTTGAAATCTTTCCACCTTCTCCCTATTCCAAATAGATAATGGTACTAGGATAATTAAGTCATATTAAATCATATTTCACATTACTCATTCCTGGAGCAATATAATCCCAGAATATTTGCAGAATTCCTTAGAAAATTAGGGACAAATTCTTTAAAAAGAATGATATTTCAGAAAAAGGACAAATTTTTTTCCAATCTCAGTTATAAGATAATGGGAGAAGGTACATTTGTCACAGTATTGATAGACAATATAAATAGTTTTGAAGATGTGCTCATATGTTATTTAGGCAAGTCAATTTTTCCTTAATCTCTGTTCCCTAGTATTAAAAGAGGATGCTTTATAGTCTTACCATTAAAGATCATCCTTTAAATTTCTTGCTTATTACTTGTCCATTAATTAAAGGAATGATAAAATTAATTCCTTCCATTAAGTACCACTCTAACTACTTTTTCTCTGCATTGATAATAAGCTGAAGAAGAATTTTTCCTAATCTTCAGATATAAATACTAAAATGAAAACAGCATAAGGCATAGAAGGAAGTACTCCTACTAGAGATAAATATAACCTACATACAGAAAAGACAGAACAGTTAGTACAACAGCCGGCCTTAGAATAACAATGTGGCCACAGTGTGGGACTAGGGCTTACCTTCCAGAACCACTGAATGACAGGGTGATTTGGGCAGTAGCCGTTCTTGTAAATAGCATGTTGTCTCCAGTCGTTAACATCAACATCTCCGAGGCCACACATCAGCAGCTATTTAGAAAAAAACAATTCAGGTTTAAATGTGGAAGGTCTGAAAACTGAAAATCACACTGATGATTCAACCTACTTTCATCACCATTATTATTATAAAAATGGTTGCTGTTTTTTTTTTTAAATAAAAACATCCATAACCCAATTCATCACCTTTCATAAAAGCAAATGGAATAAGGTTTCCATTTACATTCGCTGTAAGAAACCAAAGAGACGACCATTTGAATCACACAAAAGGCACTGTGGCTTTAGTGAAAAGAGGGCTAGCCTTCGAGTCGAAGGACTTGAGTTCAAGTCCCACCTGTGATATATACTGGTTGTGGAGCCCTGGGCAAGTCACTGAGATTCTCATTTCCAGGCACCTCTCTCAGACTAGAGGTTGCAGAGAAGGTATTGATTTGAGAGAAGAAATTCTTTACTGGGAATGCTCTAAACTGATAAAATCACATTTGGTTAAAGAAAAAGGGGACGGACTTTCAGTTTTTGTGTATAACTAGGAAATCTATTAAATTTCCATCCTGCTCTTCCCCAAATACTTTAAAGATTTGAAAAACATATCACATTAACTTTTTGAGGCTTTTACTTACTAAACAAGTTTACTAAATTGTATTGATGTTCAATATTGCCATTAATAAAAAATAAAATCAATGAAGTATCTGGTTTGTTAGACAAAATCAGAAGCTTTATAAAGTTGGCTCCCTTCCACACAGCTACCATCCCCACTCAGTTGCCCATCCCAGGTTTCCATTATTAATGAGGCTTTCATTATTGTACCTCTCTCCATCTTGCCTCATTGCCATTATCCCAACCCTACCTCCTCTTGGGTATTGGAATCTTAACTTCCCCCAGAGAATAGGTACTTTTACCAATATTTGATCATTGACCATACGAAATGATTCCCAATTCGTGGCTGCTCAAAATCATATAATCCTCCATCTTATTCAAAACCCAAGAGACTACAGATAATTAGAATAGGTCATGCATTGCATTCAATTCATTAGCTTTAAGCACATCCATGGACAAGGCTTCTATGTTAATTAGTCATTTATTAATATTGTTGTTTGTTTTTATTAGTTGTGACTTACACATTTAGTTTTTTTTTTAAAAACTAGGTTTTTTTAATTGTGTAAACCTGTTACCAGAGAAGATGTTCTCTTAGAATTGTATTTGACATAACTGTAGAAGCAGTATGGTGTCATGAAAACTGGGATGATAGGGTCTGTGCCTTGAGTGATAATCGCTGTTCTGCCATTTACTAGTAATGTGGCTTTGTACAAGTCACAATTCCAGCTGCCATATGCTTCAGTTTCCTTATATATAAAATTATGGAGTTGAATCATATTATTTCTAAACTCCCTTCCAGCTCATAAATTGTATTGACGGTTTCTACTGTCTAAGGAAAGGACCTCAGCTGAGGTGTGCTAAATCTAATGTCTCTTATTTATCCCTAACTAAAAGGCAAAAATAGGATATCCTTCCCTCCCCCAAACTTCTGGATTCTAATCTTGCCTTGAGTAGTGAATTTCTCAAAAGACTCTTTTAACACATAAAAAAAGGGATAATGGCTTCTATTGACTTTGGATTTCCATATTAGCTCTCCAGTATGACGATGTTGAAAAGGATAATGAAGACATCTCCTACTTTTCCTACTTCACTGTTCATTGAATGATTTAGGGGAAGGATATTTTTAAAAAATATGTCTATAGCTAATATCTGATACAGACCGTTAGCACTGTAGTTTTGCCTGCCTAATTGTGTAACTGTTTACCACAACTCAGCTGCCACAGACCACAAAGAAGGAATCCCAACTCAGCATTATGGGAGTAGAGTCCACAAGGAGAATCTAGGTCAGGGCTGGGCCTTCACAAGGATTCCCTGGAACAGTTGGGGGAAGTAGTTGGGGATGCTGCTTCTGAATACAGTATGCCTCTGTATTACTTCTCAGGGCCATGATCAAACCCAGAACAGTGGATTTCTTGGGATTCAAATAGCTTCTATTAACATTCACCTTTAACTGATATTGCTAAATGAGAGCTAACTGATTAGTTGTCATGACTCAGCTCATTTTCCCCAAACTAATAAAACCTATGCATAGTATAATTCACTTTTGCCTTCTTTGTAGAACATTATGAACTACAGCAAAGAAAGATGTGTGATTGGTAGAAGAATGAAGAACCTTCTGATATACTTTTCAAAAAATTATAAAGGATTTAAAAGACAACAAACCTCTAACTCGTTTTCATCAAAAATTTTAATCAAATCAATGGGAAGCAATTCTGTGAATCCCTAAAGAAAAAAAGAAAAATGAATAAATAATCCTGAAACTTTTTTGTCTCAAAGGAAAATTTAAAGGAAACATGATTTTTGTTCTTAACCAAATAAAAATTATTTTTAAAGGTCAGTTATTTATTTGTAGGTAATAGCATTTGTGTAATTCCAATTGTAAAATGTTATCCATTTTTCCCTCCCAAATACAAGTAATGAAAAACCTTGACTTTAGAATCATTTAATTACTTAGGGTACCTTAAATTGGGTGACTGCAATACGTGGATTCTAAAACATATCCATGATACATTCAAGTGAGTCAATAAGTCCTAAAAATATACAGGCCCACAGATGATGAATGGAATATCTTAAAATAACACAAATTCAATGTATACCAAGACAAATAAAATAAGGCAGTCATGTAGTATAGAAGAAAAAGTAACAGACAAAGAAAATCAGGAGAATCTGGCCTCTGCCACTGACCATCTTACTAGCTGTGGGTTAATTCTCTTAGCCTCACCGAGCCTCAGTTTCCACAAACTAAAGGATTGGGTTTAGAATATGAATTTTGAAATTCTATGATATTAAATCTCTGAATTTCTTGGGAGTTTCTACCCATGGCCAGGGCTTTATTCCTCATTATACCTAGGGATAAATTTTAATTAGTTTTAGGTGCCTTGCCAAGAAGAACCAGAGGAATTTTCTAAGTTAGTTTAAAATGAATTAAAATTTGGAGTTTTTTTTTTAACTGTTGTATACTTTAGATTTCCAATAGCTAATAAACTTTATAAAGCCTTAAAAAACATTTCTCAATTTGAGATGGTGAAAATTTTGATAAACTATGCAAACAATTTAGACCAGGGGATCTTAACTGCTTTTTGTATGTCACAGACCCTTTTGTCAGTCTGATGAAGTCTACTTACCCATTATCAGTATGTTTTTAAATACATAAAATCAAATACATAGGATTATGAAGTAAGCCAATTAAATTGAAATGAAGTTATCAAAATATTTTTATAAAACAAGGTCACAAATCCCTAGGTTATAATCCCTGATTTAGATCAAGATATCACATACATATCATAATAAGCTCCAAAGAATGCATCTCTTATATAAAAGGTCACATAATTAAAGAAGAGAAACAAGAAGAAAAAACTTTGCACAGTTATGGATTAAGGAAGAGTTCATGACAGATGTGGGCTAAAGAGAAGCATAGAAGATAAAAAGGAAAATTTTTGATTATCCAAAATTGGAAAGTTTTTGCACAAACAAAAATGCAGTTAATATTAAAAAGGAAAAAAGTTAACTGGAAAAGTATTTGCAATAAGCTTCTCCAGTAAAGGTCTGATATTCAAGATATATAAATAACTGCTTCCAAAATAAAAATTTTAGCTATTCCCTAATAGTCAAAGAATATGAACAGGTAGTTTTCCTCTTCTCTTCAAAACATTTATTTTCATTTACTTTAGTCATTTAAAATTTTTGTTTGAGTTCCAAATTCTCTCCCTCCCTCCTGTCCCTTGTCTACCGATTGAGAAGGCAAACAATATAATATCAGTTATACATATGAACTCATGGAAAATATATTTCCATATTAGCCATGGAGAAAAAAAAAGGAAGAAAAATAAAGTGAAAAAAATAAACTTCAACTTGCACTCAAGAGTTCATCAGTTTTCTCTCTGGAGGTGAATAGTATTTTTGAGTCCCTTGGAATTGTCTTGGATCATTGTCGTGATCAGAGGAGATAAGTCTTTCACAGTTGATCGTCATTACAATATTGCTGTTATGTGTATAATGATCTCCTGGTTCTTTACCAATTCATGTAAGTCTTTCATGTTTTCTGAAACCATCCTACTCATCATTTCTTATAGCACAATAGTATTCCATCACAATTATATACCACAACTTGTTCAGTCATTTCCTAATTGGTGGGTATCCCCTCATTTTCACGAGAAAGAGCTGCTATAAATATTTTTGCACATAGGTCCCTTTCCCTTTAATTTGATCTCTTTGGGATGCAGACCTAGTAGTGGTATTGCTAGGTCAAAGGGTAAACACAGTGAATAGGTAGTTTTCAAAGGAAGAAATCCAAGCCTATCAACAGTTACATGAAAAATTCTCCAAATCACTAACAATTAAAGAAATTGAAACTAAAACAACCCTGAGGTTATACCTCATACTTATCAGATTAGCCAAGATGACAAAAAGGGAAAATAAGATGACAATTGTTAGAGGCATGCAGGAAGATATCTGCACTGATAAACAATTGCTGGTGAACAGCCAATCTGGAAAGCAGCTTGCAACTATATTCTCTACTGTGCATACCCTCTGCCCCAGCAATACCTATTACTTGGCCTATACCTCCAAAGAAGTCAAAGAAAGAGGAAAAGGATCCATACATATACCAAAAAAAATCTATAGGGGCAGCTAGGTGGCGCAGTGGATAGAGTACCGGCCCTAGAGTCAGGAGGACCTGAGTTCAAATCCGGTTTCAGACACATAACACTTCCTAGCTGTGTGACCCTGGGCAGGTCACTTAACCCCATTGCCTAACAAAAACAAAAAACAAAAACAAAACAACAACAAAATATTTACAGCAGCTCTTTTCAGTGGAGCAAAGAACTGGAAACAAAAGAGGTGTCCATCAATTGACGAATGGCTAAACAAATTGTGGTATATGAATATAATGGAATATTAATTTATACCATAAGAAATTATGAAAATGATAGTTTCAGAGAAACGTGACAAGACTTGTATGAACTGATGCAGAATGGTGTAAGCAGAACCAGGAAAATAATATATACAGTGATCACAACACTGTAAAGATGAATAACTTTGAAAGAATTAAAAACTCCTATCATTGCAAGGACCAAGCATGAAGCACACTACTAAAGCACGCATCTTGACAGAAGGATGAAAGACTCATGGTGTAAAATGAAGCATACATTTTTGGATATGACAAATGTGTGGATTTGTTTTGCTTGACTATGTTTATTTGTTACAAAGATTAGATTTTCTGTTTTTTTCCCATGGTAGAGGGGGAATGAAGATTTGAGGGACAAAGTGAGCTAATATTAGTATTTCTCTCCACCCCCCAAAAAGAAGAAAATTAAGAAAAATGCTTTTTGAAGCATTTTTTGAAGCAATGCATAGAAGAAAACAGAGAAAAACAGAAAACCTTTAAAAGTAACATGTTCAATTTGTTTACATTAAAAAAATGCAAGCTGTATAAAATAGAGATTTGTTGTTTCACAAATAATCTTTTTTCTGTTCTAGTATGTGGAAACATTCATGGGGGTGGTATTTGTCAAATTCAGAATTTAAAAAAATAGGCCTTCCCCTCCTCCCTTTGATCCTCATATTTCTGGTCCCTGAGATAGGTTTGGGATTGTATTTCCTCAGCACATGATAGGGTCGTGAAAGGATGGACAAACTGATTAACCGATTAAGATGGATGAAAGCTTAGTAGATACAACAACAAAAACAATATAGCTAAAAGGATAATGATATGATGTTTTACTATAATAGAGTGTTTGATTGTGCAGGGAATGTAGAAGTTAATAACACTAATATAGAAGAAAGTACAGAGTTGGGGAGAAATACATAGCCAAAGTTAATACTCAGAGCGACAATAGAATCATTGAAAATGTTATTTAGGACATTTGCTCCTTAACTTCAAAGTTGTGCAGAACTTATCACTTTCAAGAAGAATCTAGAAATGGTTGGCTTTTGTCCCACATTGGCTTAAACTTCTAGACTTTAGTAAAAAGATTAGACAACCTTTAGGGGCATTATTTTGTAAATATTCTCACTGAAAAGGCATGAAAGTAATATAAAAGATGAGAGAAATAGAGTACAGCAAAATTTCCATAAAAAGGAAAATAACGTAGAGATTTTCAGGTGCCTTTCTCCTATCGCTCATTGTTATATCCTCCTTGTAGACATAGAAAAGGCTGTAAACTGCATAATTCTGAAGGATCTATGCTGTATCTTTCCCACTCCTGACCCAGCTTTGAGGTTATGGATCAATTCCATCCTATCACCCAAATTTGGAGGGGGCCGAGTTGCGGAGGGCAATCCTCTCTCTACTATGACTAAGGAGACTTGAGCAATAAATGATAGCCAACACAACTCACCTCCAAGAAGGCATTCATTTGTTTTTGGACTCTGTTGACAAATCTCCACTGGATGACTAAGCTAATATAAGGAAGATGAGATAACATTAAAAAAAAATCTTCACCATCATTATTTTCTATTTATTAATTTATAACTTCATTAATTTCTTATTAATCAGTGAAATCAATTTAAACCCAAAAATGACAGAAGATGAAGGGCCTTTTACTTGGCACAAGGGTTTTCATGTACTTTCCAACATATAATTATGGAACCTGGCAATAGTATTACATTGTGGAAATAGAATTGCCAGGAATTGGCACCTAATTGGATATGAGGGCAGCAGAGAGGGTGTGCATTCAAAGATGACTTCTAGTTTTTGAGCCTGGGTGGCTGAGAGGATGTGAGCACCCTCAATAAAAATAGAGTTAGTTAAAAAAAAGGAGAGTTAGGAGGGTATAGTACATTATGTTGACCACTTTCTTGTATGATTTTTCTCTAATTGGAAAAATCAAACTTTAAGCTATGGCATTAGAATCCTATTATGTAAGAGTTACCCTCTTCGTCCTGGTCTCTGAAATTCAGACCTCAGACTGGCTATGTAAATGTTCCAGGGAAGTACCACATGTTTTAGTAACCAACAACTTACCCTCCAGTGCCTCACTGGACATAAATATCATGGCTGTTTAGTTCACAGTGAAGCAAGTAGATAACAAATTCAAATCAGAAAAAAAAATCGCCATTCTGATCTTGGGATTGATCTCAAGGCAAAAAAAATCTTGTCTTTGAACAAGAAGCAATAAAACTCATGTCTGTAGCACATGTCAAACTTGTTATTATGGCTAATTTAAGAAAGGTTGTAAAATAGAGGAATACATACTCAATATATTCCCTTTTGTTTTCATTTGTCACCATGATTTCTGACCCATTGGGCTTCAGGTCCACTTGGTATGTCTGTATTTTCAAAGACAAACAAAAGATTATCATCAAACTACATTGCATATTTTCTTACTGATTTTTTTTAAACAAATAGGTTCTCTTATGTTCTGAATACCTATTAATTAACATGGAATGTGCTAGAATGTCTAATGAGGTTTATAGATTAGACTCCAAAGATCCTTCATACCTAAAGATGTCATCATTGAAGGCAAATTATCCTATGATTATTTATGAGTCTGAATTATACCCCACACTTCATTATCAAATGAGAAGAGCAACTCCCAGCTCCCAAGCACATAATAAGGGATTCACTCTGCTGGGCAAAGGGGAATCTATTATATACTGCAGTAACACAGAAAGCCAAGTTTCAATATAAAAACCACTTATGGCGCTACAGAATCACACCTGGAATACATGTTCTTGTAATAAGCAGGTTAGCTGTCAGTTTAGTTCACACAGCCACAGATACTGGTCTACTTGCTGTTCCTCACATATGCCACAAGAATTCCTATCTGTGTGCCTTTCCACTGGTAGTCTGCCATGGCTGGAATGATCTTTCACTTCACCTTTGACTTCTGGTTTCCTTCAAGATTCATTATGAGAAGTTCTACCTGTATAATAGGCCTTTCCTGGTCTTCCCTTCTTCCCAATTGCTATTGCCTTCTCCTCTGAGATTACCTCTGAATTTATAGTAATACATTACACACACACACACATACACACACATACATATATACACACATATGTATACATACACATATATATAATACGCATATATATGTATATATACACAAATATCTTATATGTACCTAGTAACTTACATGTTGTTCCTCTCATTTGAATGTGAGCATCTTGAGGGCAAGGACTATTTTTTGCCTTTTCTTTGCATATCCATAACCTAGCACAGTGCCTGGCACATAGTAAACACTTACTAAATGCTTGGTTACTGAAGGACTAATGTGGGCAGAGAGTTAAAATGATTTTCCCAAAATCACTCAGTCAACATGTGTCAGAGGTGAGATTTGAAACCAGGTTATCCTGACTCAGAAACTGACTCTTGAATCACTATGCCATATCACCTCTCAGATCACTCTATTTTCAAAGTTTTAATGACTACTTTTATTTGTATGACATTTCTTATGATGTATTTCATTTTAATGTAACTGAATAATTATTTACTTTATTATTGTGCCTCATATGGTCTTTAGTCTGGAGTTTTTAGTTTCATACTAATAAGTGTCTTGTTTTTTTTGTTTTATGCATGAGATAATTCCCCATGCTTGGAAATGAGAGACTTTTCAGATCCCTCAATTTTCTCAGTGAAAAAACCTTTAATCAGGTCTCAGAATTGAGCAGCCCCAGGTTCTGTCAAATGAGAAGGAAAGCAAATCAGGTAATAAAGGCAACATCTGCATCTTGATTACATGGAGAAAGAGCCAACAACCACCTCTGTCATGTTCTTACATTCCCAAATGGAAAAGGGAAGGAAGCTTTAAATATTCAGAAAAAACAGCTTGCAGACATCCCTAGTCATTAGGGGAAGAGCATTTGCCTCACTTATATCAGTGAAATGACTTAGAAATTCTTAATAGCAACTACTTAACTTTTCTTTATAGAAGGAAAATACAAACTTACATCTTGTTAGGCTAATTTTAAACATATAATCAACATTTTTGTGAGGTGTGAAGAAGGGACAGAAAAGTTGCTAATTCTTTACGGCCTTCAAAACAAAAATAAAATTTTTCAATGGTTAGGAAGAGATGTAGCAGGAGAATGGGAATTTAAACTCACTTCATACCAAGCTTGTTACTCTGTGCTTGTAGCATTCGGCCTTGAAAGTATAACCTTTATAAGACAGGTTAGCTCTCTAAGGAAACAGGCAATAATTTCAACAAATTTAGGACCTAATCATCTCATTCATTTTTAAGGTTTATTTTGACTGCTGTATTGCCCTGTGTGATCCACTCAAAAAGCAGCTAGGTCTTCCTCTTATAGTTTGGCAAGAAATAAAACTGAAAATCAGCCTCACTCTGAAGTCTTTTCTAAATAAGAAAAACATTCTTTCTCCAGTTTTCATTTACTTGACATTAAATAGTTTAGGAAAAGCAAAAAGAACTGTCACCCATTATGTTGGCAGATAGCTACTGTCAAGTGTAAGAGTCAAAAATTAACATAGGTTTCCAGAATCATCTCCTGGTTTGGAGATTATCTCATCTTTTCTTCCTATCTCCCCTTCATAGGACTTATCTGTAAAGTCATGATAGTCAAATGTTCCCTTATAAATAGACAGAGTTTGAGTTTTTCTGGCTACTTGATATTTCTGTAGTTCACACGAAACATGAAATATTTGGTGTGTGCATTTGGGGTTTTATGTTATTATTTTTCTCTTATTTTTACTTTTGTCTCCCAAGAAAGTGATATTTTCAAGAAGACTACCAAATTATACTTATAGATGTCCAGAAGTAAAGCCTGTCCAATGAACAGGTTCAGTTAAAGGTACCAACATTATTGAAGATCAAATTATTTATTCTTCTTGAACTTAATGTGGTTTCTATTCTGTTAATTAACTTTATAATTAAGTTAAACATTATCATCAGGATATCTGTGCACACTAGTTATTTCCACTTTTTTTTCTCTGAAGATCACATCTAAACTCAGAAAAGTTAAAATGACTTCTTTGAGGCTTATGATAAATATGCCAGAGGCAAGATTAAAATAGTTTCTGATTCACAACCCAACGCTTTGTCTTTTCACAGTACACTCAAGTTATTGGGTACCTATTTGTCTACAGTTGCTTGAGTTTCATCATGGTCAAGCAGCCAGAAAGCCTGCCTACTAATTGGAAAGAAAGCTGCAATTATCCCAAGGTTCTACCCTGCCTAAATTTGCAGCTCTCAGGAGTTGTCCTCAGTGCTTTATAAGCACACTTATATTTTTCTACCTGGAAGTGATGGTCCTGTTTAGATACTTAGATAATTTACACTCTTATTCAAAGCTTTTCCCCTTCTTCTTGTTGCCTATATGTTCTTTATGTCTATCTCCTATAAATTTGTTTTCTCAGTCTTAGCTTTTAAGGTAACAGATGGTATAGATCTTGTCGTTGCTAACTGGTATGGTACAATTAACATACAAGTAGTATATTTTGTGAGTACTTTTTAATGGTCATAACAAGAAATCTACTTACAAAGGCTAAAAAGAAACAGAGATGGGCAAAAATAGATCATCTTATCTCCTTTCCCCTTTGTTTCCTGGACTATAGTTAATACCTTCCTTTAGGGAGAGGATGACATACATCAGTGAAATAGGTTTTAAAAGCTATAACCCATATCCAAGACATAGGTAAATTTACTCTCATTTAAGGAATGTAGGAAAAGAGAAAACTATCTCTGACGTCTTAATCATCCTCAGGTTTGCAGAAATGAACTCTTCCTGCCTTGTATAAGGCATAAATCACTATGTCAGAAGTTAGGAAATAAGTGCAAAGGCTGTGTTATCTTATTGGAATTCAGAAGAAAGGTTGAAATCTGTGCTTCAGGTAGCCAACTGGCCTTAAAGGCACCATATTTCAGTATCCCTTAGACTCAAAATAGCCACTATGTTCTTAATCCTAGCTAGTTAGAACAGAGCTGGATATATAAACGCTGTTATAAATGAGTAGTGTTTTTTTCTCCTCACTGGTAAAAATAACATTAGTTTTAGGTGTTCATTGGATCATTGGAAGCACCACTGAATTCTGGTCCATTTGGATTACTATGTTTGACTCTGGGTACCATATATTTTTTCTTTGACCATCTACTGATCCGCCAGCACTCAAATGCCTAAGGATGCTACCTGAATGAGATTGAGAGTACATATCATTTCACTTTTACAATTTATAATATAGTTTATCTATAGGCTTATATATTGTTCACAGAAAAGAAATAATATATGTTGTTGTTCAGTTGTGTCTGACTCTTTGTGACCCCACTTGGAGTTTTCTTGGCAAAGATACTGGAGTGGTTTGCATTTCCTTCTCCAGCTCATTTTACAGATGAGGAAATTGAGGCAAAAAGGGGTTAAGTGACTTGCCCAGGATCACACAGCTAGTAAGTGTCAGAGGCCAGATTTGAACTCAAGAAAATGAGTCTTCCTGACTACAGGCCCAGCGCTCTATCCACTGTGCCACCTAGCTGCCCCTGAAAAGAAATAGGTGCATTTTATCATTAACAGCTTGGTGCCAACATCATTCATTGTATTTGACCTGAGTTTTGTTTAACCTCATGTTTTATGAGAAACACTAACAGATTAGAAAGCCTCCAGAAAGGATGAAGAGCTCAGAAACAATCTCATATTGGTACTGTTTAGCATGAAAAAGAGATGGTTAAAAGGAAGACATGACAGATGCCTTCAAAAAGTTGGAGGGGTGTCAGATGGAAAAAGGAGCAGACCTATAGCAGAGTGAAGTATACGGGCAAATGGGGGGAAGCTTGAAGAAGGCAAATATTAGCTAAAAATAAGAAAGGCCTTTTTTAAAAGCCAGAGCAATCCAACAACAGAATGGACTCTTCATTGTTGGAGGCATAGAAGCAGAATCTGGATGACAACAACCATGTTTTCAAGGGACTCTTGCATTGATTAGGAAGGTAGGCTGGAAGATTTCTTAGTTACCTTCCAACTGTACTATTCCAAGATTCTAACAAATTAAATTTACATAATGTTTTTAACTTTTGAAAGTGCTTCTTTATCTATTTTTCACATTTGAAATTCAAAAACCCCCACATGATAGATAGGACTGGATTATCCTTATTTTACAGCTGAAGAAACTGATACATGGAAGGATTAAGTGGCTTACTTGAGATCATAGAATAGTGGGAGAGTTGGAATGAGAAGCCAGGTTTCCTTGCAAAATCCCTTATAGTTTTTTCAATCTATCATACAAGTTCCATAATTTTTAGGGCTCAGTCACACATTAGATCTGGGCAGGCTGAATGACCTTCTGATGGACAATAGTGTTTCTATGGATTGAGGGTCTCAGGGTGTGACTCTTAACATTTCTTTTTTTTTTAATTTTAATAATCTTTTATTTTCCCCCCAATTACAAGTAAAAACAATTTTTAACATTTGTTGTCTTTTTTTTTTAAGTTTTGAGTTCCAAATTCTATCCCTCTCTTCTTCCCCACCCCTCACTCCCAAGACAGTAAGCAATCTGATATAGGTTATACATGTGCAATCATGTAAAACATTTCTATATTAGTTCATTGTGTGATTCAACATTTTTTTATTTCTTTTTTTTTCAATTCTTAACATCTCTAATGTTCTTATTAACAGGAGAAGAGATTATGTGTCATGGGGGAAAGAGTGAAATGAATATTTCTGGTATTCTCAAGGTGATAAAAAAAACGAGTAAGTCTAAAATGAAGGTGAAATTCCAAAGAGAAAGATATCAAGGAATTTCGAAAAAACTTTAGGTTAAAACACTTGTCACAATTTGTTCTTCCTTTTTATTTCATTTTTTAAAATTTATTTTTTATGATTCATTAATTTATTTTTAATTTTCAACACTCACTTCCGCAAGATTTTGAGTTCCAAATTTTCTCCCCATCTCGCTCCTCCTCCAACTTCAAGACAGCATGCATTCTGAATACTCTTTCCCCTAATCTGCTCTCCCTTCTATCTCCCTCCCCCCTTCTCTTATTCCCTTCTTCTACTCTTTTCCTGTAGGGTAGGATAGATCTCTATACCCCATTTCCTGTATTTCTTATTTCCCAGTTGCATGTCAAAACAATTTTTTTAACATGTGTTTTTAAGACTTTGGGTTCCAAATTTTATCCCTTCCTCCCTCCCTACCCATCCTCATTGAGAAGGCAAGCAACTTGATACAGGTTATACTTGTGCAGTCATACAAAACATTTCCACAGTAGTCATGCTGTGGAAAACTAGTATTTCCCTTCATCCTATCCTGCCCCCTGTTTATTCTATTCTCTCTTTTGACCCTGTCCCTCCTCAGAAGTGTTTGCTTCTGAATATGCCCTCCCCCAATCTGCCCTCCCCTCTATCATCCCCCTGCTCTCTTATCCCCTTTTCCACCCTCCCATTTTCCTGTAGGGTAAGATATCTTTCCATACCCAATTGAGTGTGTATGTTATTCCCTCCTTAAGCCAAATCCGATAACAGTAAGATTCACTCATTTCCTCTCCCTTCCCCCATATCCCTTCCACTATGAAAGCCTTTTCTCATCTGTTTTATGTGAGATAATTTACCCTATTTGACCTCTCCCTTTCTCCTTCTTCCAGTATAATCCTCTGTGATTCCTTTTTATATCAAACCTACACTAACAGTATAAGGACAGCAAAGGACTGGAAACTGATACATACTAGGAACCAACATACTGGGTCATACATTTATGTAGACTTCTTGATAAAAAAAAAACAAACAAACAAAAACCCAACTAGTTTTCTTGTAATATTCTTGCATTTGTTTTTGTGAAGTGGAACCCATAAGACTTGTTCACAACTCTAGTGTAAGAGAATAATCCTTTTGGGAAAGAAGGACTTGAAGAGGGAGCAGAGGATTACGTTTTGGATGATATGAAAATTAGTCAATTTGGGTGACTCCAGAGTACACATTTCCCTCTTAGAATTACTGCAACAAAAGACAGATTGTAGTTTGCTACTCCTTCTGGGCAAGGCGAGAGATATCAGAAAGGTTATTTTTCCAAGGGATATTTGAAGGAACTGAAGTGCATGGATTTCAGGGGGGAGAAGGCCGCACATAAGGCACAGGTTTCATGTGGAACAGGTCAGCTAGGTTATGATCCAGGCAGCATGAAACAGCAAAGAGCAACAGTATGGTAATTAGAACATTTGGGTTCTAATTTGCTGCATAAGCTACCTCTCAGTTTCCTTATTTACAACATAAGGGGTTGGGCAAAGTGATCTTCAAAGTATGTTTTAGCCTTAACGTCTATGACACCATAATCTTTATTTGATGTAGCAGTCACCTAACCAATGAAAGTGTTTCTACTTTGAGGAAGTACCTAAATTCCCAAACTGAGAGAGCACAGCCTCTGGTGGCCAGCTCTTACCCTAAGAAGATATTGGCCTGGTGCCCTTAGAGCAGTCTTAAAACTTCCATTGGTGTTTGCTAGGAACAGACTGGAACAGGAATCTGAGACACCATACCCAAGTAATCAGTACCAGTAGATACCAGTAGATGAAAATTATTCACCATTCAAAACTGATGAATGTTCCTTACTTTTTGAAAAAAGCATCATTATGACACGATAAAGAAAAATACAACTTAGCAATAATTGGGTTACCCAAACATACCTGTCCAAAGTTTTCTTCATCTATGCAGAACATGAGATCAAGTTCAGTAGGATCATTTTCTAAGATCCATTTCAAGGAGTTGTAATATTCACTATCCTATAGGAATGACAGAAAATTATGAATGAGCAACATAAAAGCATTTAATTTGTCAATTAGATGAGTGTCCTGCTCAATCACAAACATTTAGAATGACTACAAATTATGGCATTTAATGATGTTAACTTGTTTCATCCCCAGCATAACTCTTATCTCCTACTGGGAAGAACAATACATTAAAAAAAAAAGTTTTGCAGTAGCTGGGGCTTAGTAGTAAAGTCCTATAAACAGCAGTACACATGAATAGTTCTCAAGGAAGGTTGGTCTAGGTAAGAATATGTAACTGTGACAAAGGAAAGATGGAGGTTAATTGGTATAGATAACAACTTTGCCCGGATTTAAGTATGTCTTTGCGTTAATCACTAATGTTCAAGAGAATGGGGCAAAAATACATGATCAAGATGAATGAAAATTGTCAGTACGTGATCGTAGGCTGATATTGTCAGCAACCAGAGATTTACTCAACACTTCCTTTCATTTTAGAATGGAAATGCCAGGAAAATGGTGAAGGATGAAGAATAAATGTGATTTTGTTTTATCAAGCTCTAGGAAGAAGTTTGATAGGGAAGAAAAATTGGACAGAATGAGCCATCTTGATTATATGTAGATTTAAATTATCTATATATAGCTATTATTCGCCCTCCAGGATCCCTCAATAATTTAGGATTAGGTATATCTGCTAGGATTGGTATAATTGGCAATTCTTTGAAAAAAATTTTTGCTTATTAAAAAAATAACATCTAAGAAACTTTCCTATCTCTCTGTTCCATTCCACGTCACGCCCACGCCCCTCCCCGCAATAGATTGTATTATATTTATTAAAATATCTTCTTGGGCAAGTCACTTAACCTCTGCCTCAGTTTTCTCATTTGTAAAATGAGGATAATTATAGCACCTACCTCCTGGGGTAGTTGTGAGGATCAAATGAAATAATAATTGTCAAGTGCTTAACACAGTGCCAGGCCCATACATAGTAAGCATTAGATAAATGTTAGCTATTATTATTATCTCGTGGGAGAACCATTTGAACTAAAAGAATCAGAGAGTCAAATATTTTTTTCCCTAAGGAAAAACACCACAATTACTTAAAACGTGAATAACCTGTGTTTACTCACCACTGACTCCATATCATTCAAAGTTATCTGCTTTCCCAGCATCATTTTGTAAAATGGTCTAATGAAGAAACCTAAAATAAGGTAATAACTGAATTTAGTTTCAAGTGTTTACTATTGTTCAGCATCAAAGCATGAAATAAAAGACAGGCTCTTACTGAAAAGGTACAGAGAATAATTATAGGTGTCACAGCAACATCACAGCATGTGGGTAGAGCAGGTGTTTAGGGTACCAAAAGGTACAGGACAGAGCTCATCCTCCTTGACTTCTCAACAGTATTGTTGACCTTTGCCAATAACGTTGCCACTTACTGATCTCTCTTCCTTTGGTTTCAGAACTATCACACTCTCCTAGTTCTCTTCCTACCTCTAAATGTCTTTCTATAATTCCCTCGTCATTTTTCTAACACCTTAAAGTGGATGCTCCCCAAGGTTTTATTTTTGTCCTTTATTGACCATTTCACCCACTTCCATGATTTGTAACTAACATTTCTACACTGATAACTCCCAAATGTCATGAAAGAACTTTCCCCCCTACATCCATACATACTCTATACCTGTATTTCTTTTATGCACATGTATAGCATTTTGTAATATAATTATTTATCTACATTTATAATGTATTCTTTTATTACGTAGTTGTATATCAAATTCCCCTCCTAGTAAGGGAAGGGGGTATAACTTATTGAAACTCTGTATATTTAATCCAATAACTAGGCTTTTAGGGAAAGCAGCTCCATTGTAGGACAAGGATAAAATACTTTGCTGCTTTACATAAGCAGCATTGGGTTAAGGATTCCTGATCAGCCAAGAGAATTCCAAAGGACTCATGATGAAAAATGATATCCACCTCCAGAAAAAGAGCTGATGGAATCTGAATGTAGATCAAAGCATACTATTTTTCATTTTCTTTATTTTTATTTCATAGGGTTTTTTTGTTTGTATTTTTGACTTGTGTCTTCTTTCACAACATGACTAACATGGAAATATGTTTTATATGACTGTACATGTATAACCTATGTGAAATTGCTTATTGTCTCAGGGAGGGGAGAGGGAAGGGAAGAAGGGAGAAAATTCGTAACTAAGAATTTTTAAAAATTAATGTTAAAATTGTTTTTACATTTAATTGGGGAAAAATAAAATATTATTTTTTAAAAATGGATTCCTAATCAGAAAAATTAATGGAACAAACAAAATTAGAATATAACACAATTTTCATTGTTTTAGCATTTTTAGTAACTTACCATCTAGGAGCTTCCCATGAAACACTGCCAGGCCTGCTACCCGTCCAATAAAAGTGAAATACGACAGATGATCTTCATTACAAAGGCCTGAATTGGGATTGATTTGAAGTGTGTAGTTGTCCCTTTGAGGAAAAAAACAACAACTATGTAGTAATTTTTAAATTAAAAAGTCCAGAACAGAAAAGCCAACTGATAGTTTTTTTTTTCTTTTCTGTTTAATTTCAGCCTACCTGGATGTATTCTGTAATTTAACAGAAAATGTATCTGTATGTTAATTCCTTACTTCTGAGACATGCCCATATGTCCATTGACTTAGAAAGATGAGAAGAATGCTAGGTTGATGACACACAGCTTACATTCCTGAAGTCAAGATTTTCTAATCACCACAGGGATAGAGACTATCTCAAGACTATGAAAGAAGCCTTTGAAATAAATGATATACTTAATTCAGCTCAATCTCCATTTTATTTCAGGGATTCACCCAGTGACTTTCTGAGAGAGCACATAAATTGTTCTTCCTGATATCCCAACCTATTTGTACATAAAATACTTGTCCCCAAAATACGACAAAATATTTTTCCCAGGAGGAGATAGTGTTCTATTCTTTGTCTTTGCATTTTAAGCACCTAGCTCAGTGTCTGGCACATAGCAGATGCTTAATAAAAGGTTTCTGTTTGACTGGTTGGATCATTCATTTAAAACTGGAAGGAGTCATTAAAGCTGTCCGGTGCCACCACTTCATTTTAAATACATCTAAGGTTCTCCAATCCAATTGGGATGCCTACAAAAGGCAAAGCTACTCTGGTAAACTCCCATACCACTGGAAAGAAAGGAAGACTCATGAATCTCGTGCCTAAATAAAGGATACCAGTGGAGGACAGGGAGGAGAGAGTTAAGTTCCTAGGACAAAAAATGATTCTAACAAGGGCCTCAAAGCAGTATTAATCTTTTTATTAGCTAAGTTGACTGACACACACTCATGCCTAACTTTTTAAAGTGACCATTGCTTGATTGCTTAGAATGACAAATGGGGATTCTGAAATCCTTAATCATGAAGGAATCATGTTTCTTCTTACCACTTGTATACTCAAGCATGGGTCCCCAAAGACCTCATAATTGGACTTTAGGGCCTATTCTTGCTCATAAAAATGCTTTCTCCTTTTTAGAAGCATGACACTGACAAATTCTTCTCTTGAATTAACATTAGCAATGATAATTGCTTCTCTCTGTGTGAATGCCATAATTACCAGAAACTTTTTTTCAATTTCAATTATATGAGTGCAACAGACAAGAAAAGAATCAGTCACTTTCAGGCTTTCATTGAACACATTAAAACACCAAGTGGATTAACAATAATTTCTAGACTCACGCCCCAGGGGCCTATACCAGCAGAATGAATGTGTTGAGCCACTGACTCTCTGCATTAGGATAAAATTCCAGATATACTCCATATACTTACGTGGCAGAATATTCAAAGAGACCATAGTAAGGATTAAACATCTCCTTGGACAACAAGAAGAACCATTCTCTGGCCACACCACCATAATCAAGGCCTTTTTCGGACTCAAATTCAATCCACAGCCTGGCTTTCAGCACATCAGGTCTCTTCACAGACATGATCCTCCTATAGGATTCTTCAAATATGTTATTTCTGTGAAGCTTCATTTCAAACCTATTTGGAATATCGGCCTACATAAAAGAAGGCACAAAACACCTATCAATCAGAAAAAATGACGAGGAGATGGTCGAGGAGTCTCTGATTAAACAGGCAGTGATTGAATGGTTCCCATTCAGAGTACCTCTTTTGGGAATTTTCCTCTACGTAGAAGGTAAGCTTCTCTATGTCAAGATATGAAACATTTAGCATCCGTTAACAATTGTTCCGACTGAATCACTAACATATGCTGCCTATTAAGAAAGGATGAATGAAAGAAAAAAGTGTCCCATTTTTTATCTTTACCAGGCATTTTCTACCATCTGGTACCCCAAGGACAGTCAACTCTAGTTATCTATAACAAGAGGAGGAGAGTCTTAGTAAAATCTGAACAACCCAACTAGCTGAGTGAGAATCATGGCACTGCTGCTAGAAAATTTGCTAAATGTCATATGTGCAAAAAATTATAACAGCTCTTTTGTAGTGTTTAAGAACAAGAAACTGAGAGAATTCCTTCATATGGGGAATAGTAGAAAAAAATTATGATATATAAGTGTAATGGGATACTATTATGTCATAACAAATGATGAAAGGGACATGGGAGGTCTAGTATGAACTGATGCCAACAGAGTGAAGTGAGCAGAATAAAACAACAACACTGAAAAAGGTAACACTTGAAAGACTTAAGAATTCTAATCAATACAATGGCCAACCATCAATCTGGAAGACTGATGATGACTTTTGTTACCCGTGTCCTGACAGAGAGGAGATAAACTTAGGGTGCAGAATGAGATATGCTTAATGATATGGTTAACGCAGAAATTTTTTTTTTTTGCTTGACTATGAATATGTTACAAGGGTTTTGTTTGATGTGTGTGTGCAGGAGGGGAGGTTGAGAAAATAAATTTGTTAATTAAAAATAACTAAATCAAAAGTGCATATACATCTGCCTAAATCAAAACAGTTCTTATATAGCAAAAACAATGAGGAAAGTAAGGATAAAAACTTGATGGGTCTGGATCACGGTCCTATGATTTTAAGTCAATTTTTCTACTATGGAGGACAGAACCCAAACTTTGGGGAAGTATGTCTATTGTTGATAGATAATTCATAGTAAACCTAATCAGCATGAAGTAAAAGGGATTGCCTATAAAGGCAGTTGTCTCCTGGGAACATGAAATGCATTTAGACTTCTAAATGAAAAAGAAAGTCCTGACAGCAAGAGTCCATGGGGAAACCACCCTTCTCCTTAGGGTTTATATGGCTTGTCAAGAAAGTCAACACCAGACAGTGTTCAGCAAGTGAAATAATGACAGAGAATGTAGGTGATGCATACATAATAATGATGCATACAGAAGGCAAAAATTTCTTTTAAATAACTGTGTTTTGGAGGACAGGCAAAATATTCTCATCAATATTTGTTTATGCTACAGAAGAGAGAGTAGGAGAGAGAAGAGGAAGAAAAAAGACATTTAGGATGAATGAAAATTGTGCTATAGTTTGCATATTCCTGGCCAATGCCTGCCTAGCTATGGCAACCTAGAATTGAGTGCATGAAGTAAAAAGGGTAGAGTCAGTCTGGTCTGCTCTGGTGACACTTCATAACTGAATTTACAAAGTAGAGCAAGGCAGAAGAGACAAGGCTGGAGAATGAATACAGGAAAAAGAAAAGAAAATTCTAATAAAATTTAATTCAGGACACATACTAACAAAAGGATCTAAGGATTCTTAAAGGCAGAGATGAGAAGGCCAGTGGTCTGTGAGAATGCCTAGAGGGAAAAGATGGAATGTCGAGTCTGGAGTACCATGAGTGGTCAGGTTGAGTCAGAATACAGTATCCATGAAAGGAAGCAGAATTAAATAAAGCTGGAAAGGCAGGGTGGAAACTAACTATGGAGATCCTGAAATGCCGGATTAAGGAGTCTCTACTTTACCTCGGAGGCTTTTGTGCAGCCTCTGATGGCTTTTGAGCAAGATACTAACAGGTATAGACATGAGCCTAAGGAAAATTATTTGGACAGTTGTAGAGAGGATGAATTAAAGAGGGAGTAATACGACCAGGGAAGGAGACAACAGAGAGGGAGAAAACAAAGATGAGAGAGACTGTTTGTAAAATGAGTAACAAAAGTCCAGGTCTTATCCTGCTAGTATTTTAATAGAAACTTTACATTTAGTCCAATCCAATTAATGGGTCACATAGAAGCATTAGAGAAAAAGAGCAGAGGGTTACAACTAAGATGACCATGAACAGCAGGTAGTTTTTCTTGCCTTGAACTTGGACCAAGTTCTAACTATCCTGGTGGTTTTTTTCTTTTACTTTGTTTTTGGTGTAAACATTTATTACCTATTTTTATATTTTACAATAAATAGGAACATTATATTGCTTATCAAAATCACTAAATTTTTTCCAATCTGTTCAGTCAGTTCACAAGGATTTCTTAATCATCATAAGCAAAGGGGGTACAAAGGCAAAATCATAATCTTTGCCTTCAGGGAGCTCACAGATCAATGGAATTAAAATTTCAACTGAATTCACACTCCCATCCTTATTGTCATTAACTACGAAAAGAAAATACGGAAGCTGAAAAACCAAGCAGATCAAAGTATAGTTTTTAATGTGATAACAGGTTTAGTTTGGGTAATAATTAAAAAAAAAAGTCATATTCACATTGTTCTTACTAAACGAGGCTGTGGTAACTTCCAAAGGACAAATGACAAATACAGTGCTATACAAAAAGACAGGATTACTCACTGGTTTCTTTAACTTCTTCCTAAAGTAGTCATATTTCTGCTTAAACTCTCTGGAATAAGGAACAGCCTGAAAAAGAGATATTTATAAATAGAGATCATGAAAATAATATACTTTAAAATTTTTACATTTATTGAGCCAACATTCAGAACACTATGAATCATAAGGCTTAAAGTTCTCTCTATATTTGTATATAACTCCTCATAGTCTATTTATTTAAATAGACTTTGAAAAATCTATTCATGTGCATATATCTTCTATGGCTATAGAATATATAGCTATGTGTGTGAGACAGAGAGACAGAAGAAGAGGGAGGGAGAGAGGCAGAAACAGAGAGAGAGAGGAGAGACAGAGGAAAGAAGAGAGAGGAGAGAGAAAAGAGAGGAGAGAAGAGACAGGAGGAGTGAGGAAGGGGGAAGAGGGGGAGAGAAGGAGAGAGAGAAAGAGGGAGGGAGGGGGGGAGAAAGAGAAAGAGAGAGAGAGAGAGAGAGAGAAGAGCACTGGGTTCCTGTAAAAAGGGTACACCTCACCAGGAGATAAAACATTTGGATGAGACAAAGTTCCTGACCTCCAAGAGCTCCCAGTCTTATCTGGGACGTACAATGATAATATGATAAGAACCCAATAGGTCTATTAATTAAGTGCAGAACAAACTGCTATTGAAAGATGAAAGGCAACATGACTAAAGCATATACTAATGTGGTAATATGTTTTGTATGACTAAAAATGTATAATCTATATAGAATTGCTTGTCGTCTCAGGGAAGAGTCTGGGGAAGAAGGGAGGGAAATAATTTGGAACTGAAAATTTTTAAAAAATGAATGTTCAAAATTGTTTTTATATGTAATAGTAAAAAAAATTATTGAAAAAATGAAATTTTATCTCATAATCTGCCTCAGGCCTCACACACACATTCTAACTGTCTATATGTTTGACTGAAAAAAGCCATTTGTAAACCTGGTAGGTGCTGACTAGATGTGGGTGGAAACTAGGAGGTTGAGCTATTTCTGTTCTTTCTTCTTACAGGGGATGATGCATGGGAAGTTCAAAAATCATTATCCTCCTCCACTCTTATTTTTTCTCTCTTGGGTAGTTTTTCAAATGGAAGAACAAGAACCCGTTTTCACCTTCCTCTAGAAGGAGACTGTTGCCCTACTGATATACAGAAGTCCCTGATAGTTAGAGCCTCTGGAGAGGAATGTATAAAGCATATTACCTTTCTTGGACTAAATAGCTTAATGGGTCAAATCATTTGTTCTCTTTCCATACAAATTCTTATTTAAAATATCACCTAAGGAAGTAAAAATGTACTTACGATTATAATCTATTTTACTCTGACCATTAGGCAGGGCAAGTGACAATCTTACTCTTGCCCACCAAAAATCAGCCACAGCATGGTAATGACCTAATGATTTAAAGTAAGATAGCCTAGGCTCAAGTCTTGGCCTTGCCACTTTTGAACTTTGTGACACCAGGCAAATCACTTTTTTGAGACTCAATGACTAATTTATGTGCTCTATCTCAGGCTTATTGTAATGCTCAGATTAGATAGCCTCCATGAGAACAATTTGAAACAATGATTTCCTATGTGAATTTTAAGTTATTATTTTGTATAATGGTGAAATCCTACTAAAGAACTCACTTGCCTCAATAATAAACGCCCCTCTTCCCCTTTTGCTTGAACAAAATATAAATGCTTAAATTATTTAATGTTTTTGTATAATGAATATCCTAAATAAATCTGTCATTATTGTTTGTCTTAAGTTTAAAGTCTTAAGGAAAAGGGATCATATCTAGTTGACTTTGATGGAAGTCAATGTGGTCCCAAGTAGAAAGAATGCTGGAGTTAGGAGACTTGAGTCATAGCCATGATCATGACACTAATTTGTCGTGTGCCTTTGGGCATTTTACCTCACTGTCTACCTATATCAGGTGGTTTTAATGGCTGAGAGAATTATTGAAGCCCTGCGGAAAAGGTCAACTATCCTTCGTCCACATCAAAGTAGTCCATTGTGAGCATTATCTATTACACCATAAGTGCAAAGTTGACCACCTTGCCTCATGTTTTAATCCTATATTAATTCTAGTCTTAATTCTAAAATAACCAGATGACACATGGATGAAATTTACATAGCGCTTTAAGACTGCAAAAACCTTGGAAAAAAGTGGAAAGTGTCACGTATATGTAAATTATTACTCAGACTCCTGTGGAGAAGCCCCGCAAAAGCAGTGCTTCATATGACTGAATTGGAGGAAAGAGTGGTGAATGTATAGTGGAACGTCAACTATCCTGACATTAAGTTAAGGTATCACATACAAAAAAATGCATACTTAGGAAGAAACAAAGGAATAACCTGGGAAAAATCCACTATGAAATATACTCACTGGGCCAGTAATAGCAGGATTCTGCAATCTTGGATCTTCCCACTGAGTAATTTTACTATCTGAAAAGTAACCCAATAAATGAGAGCATTAGTTAGAACCTATCCCAGTCTATTTAAAAATGTTTTCAGAAAGAAGTTTCACTAGGTTTCTTCACCCATCTGCTTCTCCCTATTCATGCCCATTTCCTCAAGTCTCAGAAGTTTCTAAGAGCAGGGCAGTGTTAGGGAATAATCGTATAATCATCCATCCACCCTGCCCACCAACACGCTGTTTAGTTGAAAACACTCAATCAAAAATGCAAAACTAAGTGAGGCAGACCATCTAATTCACACTGTTTGGGGTAAGCATCTGTCAATACTTCAGTTATAAACCCCCTGTTCTCCTAGGGATTTATAACTTGATTGTGATTTTTCACTCAACTGCAAAAAGGCATTAGTCTCTGTTCCCTCTCACAAAGGTTAAGAAACACACACATAGCATTTACTCATTTGCAAACACTTTTTTTCTTGCTTATATAGTTAAAAAAACTGTTTTCAGTTAAAAGCCTTATATTTAACAACTGAACAATCTTTAATATGCATCATTCACATATGCACACACATACACAAAATCAAAGCAGACCAGACAGCTCTAAAACGAGAATTAAATTAATACTATACAAAAAATTTTCCCCATTGACTAACTTAGCAAGGTCTTTATTTCTCCTAAAAGATGCAATCTAGGCTCATTTTCTTTCTACTATGGTATAAGCGGTAATACAATGGTGTTGTAGATTGGTAGTTATGTGGAAGAAGGGTCTGATCTATATATCTTTATAGAGAAGGGGGGAAAACTACATTAAGATGTTCTTGAGGTTCCATGAAATTCAAGCAAGTCAAAAAGACTGGTAAAAATCCTGTCAAGAGGCCGTTGAAAGAGTGCTGGGCTTGAAGTCAGCAATGCAGTTATTAAAATCTGATACTTAAAAGGTGTGTATTCTTGGATCCAACACTTAAACTCTATATACCTTGAAAAATATCCTAAGACTTAATATTAAATCATAGGATGTGTTGTGAATTTTTTTATATTTTTGTATTAGTATTTTTTTTTGTTTGTATTTTGTATCTGAGAACTGTACTGGTAGGTTTTTATTTACACATCCCATCAATCACCAAGTATGTATTAAGCATTCATTTTGTGCTGGTCCCTGGAACAATTTAGAATTGCTATATAGTTAGCTTCTTGTACTATCAAGGAATATTTTATTGAATGGCCTTTTCTCAATATGTATTCTTTCTCACCTCTTTATAGCATAAAAAATGTATGTACCTCATTTTTTAAAAACATTTGTTTTTATTTTTGATTTTTTTGGCTAGGCAATGGGGTTAAGTGACTTACCCAGGGTCACACAGCTAGGAAGTGTCAAGTGTGTGAGGTCGGATTTAAACTCAGGTCCTCTTGACTCCAAGGCTGGAGCTATATCCACTGTGCCACCTAGCTGCCCCAGTGTACCTCATTCTTTGGACCTTTATTTTTATTTCCAGAATTTAGCACAGTACTTGGCACATAGTAAACATTTAATAAATGCTTGTGGATTGGCTCTCATCCTATGCATTCTCTCTTCTCTGGGTTTCCATAACACTCTTCATTCTTGGCATGCCTACTATCTGTCTGACCATTCCTTCTCAGTCCCCTTTACTGGTTAATCACCAATATTATGATCCTTGAATGGGGGTATAACCTCCAACTGCGTCTTGGGCATTTCTCCCTCTATATTTTCTTACTTGGTTTTCTCCCACAGATGTAATTATTACTTCTATGCGGATGACAGCCAGAGGTCTAGTTTAGCATTACCAACTGCCTATCGGATGTTTTGAAATGGATGTCGCATAAGCCATCTCAAACTAAACAGAACTCATGCTACCTACCCTTCCTTTCTACAAATCATCCACACCTCAACCTTTGTGTCAGCCTCCAATCTTTACTTTTACCCTGTGTATCCAACTAGTTACCACACTGCTGTTCCTCCACAACACTGCCTTTCTTCTTACACATGGCCAACACCCCTGTTCCATGTGCTCCTCACCTCTTATCTAAACTATTTCAATAACCTCCTAATTAGCTTCCCTGCTTTCAAACTCCACTCTCTCCAAATATATCCTCAATATAGCCACCAAAAATTATCTTCCTAAATAGTAGAGCTAACCATGTTATTGACCCTACTCAATAAATTCCAGTTTCACACCTGGGATCAACTACAACCTGTTTGGCATTCAGAGTTCTTCACAAACTGAACCCAACCTACCTTTTCAGTCTTATTATATATGATTCCCCATCACATATATTAAAATCCAGCCAGAATTATTATCTTGCAGTTTCTTATACACAATACTTAAACTCCAGTCCACATGCCTTTACAGTGGTTGTTCTCCATGCCAGAAACACATGCATATCCTTCCCACATCTACCTCTGAGAATCCCTAGTTTTCATCAGAAGCTTAAATGTCAGTTTCTATATTAGGCCTTTCATGATTCTCCCCACCTACTAGTGCATTCCTCCTGAAAAATGGTCTTGTATCTCTTTTGTATATACATATATAATATATATGTATATACAACTATATGGTTTTGTGTGTGTTTATTACCCTTGGTAGAATGTAAGCTTCTTTATGAGAGGGACTATTTCACTTTCAACTCTTTATCCACAGTGATGGGTACATAGTAGGCGATTAATAAATGCTTACTGATTGAAAGATATGTGGGTTGAATTGAGAAAAGGCTGATTTGATTGATTTTATTTCCTGAGTATTCTATAGACAGATTGAAAGTAGTTTTAAACATTGTCTCCTCTAATTTATTTATATGGCTCATTCATTTTGCAAAATTTCTTTTTATAGGCAGTAAATTTCAGTGCGACTTCCATCTGAACACAAATTGCATTATTAGCAGAATCCAAATGAATAACCACCACGAAGGCTAAAAACAGCTGTATTGGTAGAGAGACTTTCTTCACAAGAGTTCTCTTGCAGTTTGAAATTTTGTTTTCTTTCAGTAGACAAAGCAGGCCATCTTTTGCCTCATTTTTTACCTACTCTTAAATCACTGAATGGGTGTTGCCTCAGACAAAATGAAACCTAGGAAAGACCTTAGCTTAAAAAGGCTAAGACTCCTAGAGCATCTGGGGTCATAAGTAGTCATCCTGACCTGTCTTGCCACTGGACTCAGATGACCTTGGAGGAGAGAGTGAGGATGATGACTTTGCACAGCCCTGCCTCACTTAAATCCAATTCAGTTGCAAGTCAACACATCACCCTCCTGATGTCATTGGTCCTCCTTGAGAATGAAGGACAAACAACAATAACAAAGCAGAACAATGGTATAAAATCTTGGGGGTGGTTGAAATAGTATTTCAGTATCATTAGAGGAACAGAAAGTCTTGGAGAGGTTTCTGGGGCTACTTAGTTGAAATTTGTCATGGAAAACTTTTTGTTGGTACCAGAATATTATTCCCAAAGAAAAAGGTCAAGAAATGGATTGATTACATGATCTTAAAATGACTTCTAATGATTTAATATAAGAAGGGGAAAAAAATGAGTGATTTCTATAATGTGTCTTCTAGAAAGAAAAAGCATATAATGATTTCCACTTTTTATAAACTTGGCTAATGGTGATGAAACTGATTAAAGGACAAATGGGTCTATGCTGGATTACTAAGGTATAAACATTTTTTTTTGGTAGTGGATAAAGAATATGTGGAATTTCTTTAGCGGTCAGTTTCGCACAAGGGTGCCAAACTGGTGCCACTTGAATTTCGATTGGTGTTACCATATCAATAAATATGGAAGCAGCAATTTTGTAGGCATTAGGAAGACCTGAGTTCATATTCTCCCTTGGATATTTACTATGACTCAGGCCTGGCTAGCTTCAGTTACCTTTTCTATGAGGGGCATCATAATAGCAACTACCTCTCAGGATTGCTGTGAGGATATAATAAGTTTATACATATAAAGCAAATCAAGTCATATATAGACCTATATATTATATATCATTATTGTTATGTTATTGATGTGTTACATTTTTAAAACTTTCTTTAAAATATTAAGAATTATTATGAACTTTTTCTGAACACTGGAATCATAATGCAAATCAGATGCAAACTTTTCGGGGGAAACATTTTTATTTTTTAGTGGAAACTAGTGGTACAACCAAGAGAAGCCCTCCATTGCTTTTCATTTACGTATTTTTTCAGAAAGCCAGCCATGCTAGCAAAGATGAGCTTATATCAAATTTTGTCAACCATTAAATCACGAATGAATACATTTTTAGAAGGACATAGGGATATGTGTGTGGGGTGAACATTCATTTTTTTTAATAAAACATTTATAATTTCAAGGTAAAAGTTTTAGCTTCACTGTACAATTCTGGAAAATGAGAAAATCAACATTTATACCTACATCTAAATAAAAACAACAAAGTAAAATTTAAAAACTTCAGATATCCAATTTGAACCAAGACACCAAAAGTTAAAAGTTATAATTTAATTAAAACTTCAGTTTTCAGAATTTTAGAATTCTTGGTCTTGTTGGTTTAATTCAGATATTAAATAAAGGTACTTTTGGCATATCCATAGACCAATAAATTCCTTGATACTACAAGTGGTGAAATACCATCTCAGCTGGGAAAAGAAAAAAAAAAAAGGGAACCGTCTATTTATATTAAAAAAAAAAAAACCTGTATTTGATTTTACACTAAAACTATGTTTGACATCCTTTTTCCAGGTAAGAAAATGTGTGCGTAAAAATGGAAACCAAAAATTATCTATTTGCCAGAAGACTTCAAATTTTGTATTTAATCCAATTTCTCCTTTGTCAATTTTTTTTCTCAGAGGCAATAAGGAATTTATGAAGATTATCTCATAAAAAGGGACTCCTCACCAAATAAAAATAAAAAATAAAATAAAATAAAAAAGCCATGGGCTAAGAGCACTTTTTTTTATTAGTTTAATTTTAAATTCAAATGAAAAATCACATAAGTAACCTAAGATACCATAACAAAAGTCTACATTTACACTAGGACTTCAGTAACAGAACTAGATATAGCTTAACAGTGGGTGCAAGAAAAAACATGCTATAAATAGAAAATAAGGTCAGAAATAGCAATATGTCACAAGAATGTTTAAGGCAGTGATTTCATTTAAACTCAACTATACTCCTTTTCTCTCACTGCTTACACAGAGACTTGTGGTGAAATCATTTCTAATCTTATTTTCCATTACTATGGTGTATTTTAATATATTAAATGCACATAAGCCATGGAGTCATCAACAACAACAAAATTCAAATAAATCAATAAATGATAAAATTGTTAATGCTTCACAAGATCCAAGTGGGAACAAAGCTGATGAGCCAATTAACCACAAGCTTTTGGTCAATATACGATACCGTAGGAGGGCACTAAGTCTCTGGTATCATTTTCTCCACATATCAACACCTGGTTTCCTAAATGAAGAGTAAAGTCATAAAGTTTTTGCTATAATATTTAACTTACCTCCCTTTTGCCTAAATTGAAACATTTTATCAATAGAGATTACTTACTATGATCTATATAAAAAGTTCGACCATCCAAGTGTATCCTTTCTTCCCAACCGGGCTAGTCCAAAAGAAAAGACAAAATAAATATTAGTTGGCAGTCCTCCCAATCCTGAACCTCCTAAAAAAATAAAAGCAAAAAACCCCATCTCTCTACCAGCAGCCATTCTCAATTCCAACATATCCTTATTCTCTTGGCCTGGTAAAGTGATATTTTGCATAAGAATCAATGACATACGGAAGGATTCAAAATTAGATAATTGGTATTTCTAAAAGAAAGCATCATCTGCTCACTAGGTTTAATGCAATGGACTTGAGATCACACAAAGTTGGAAAATCAGGATCTATGCTTGTCCTTTAAAAAAAAAAGAAAGACTAGAGGCAGCTAAGTGGAACAGTGTATAGAGCACCATCCCTGGAGTCAGGAGGACCTGAGTTCACATCCGGCCTCAGACACATAACATTCACTAGGTGTGTGACTCTGGGCAAGTCACTTAACCCCAATTGCCTCACCAAGAAAAAAAAAAAGACTACTGGAAAAGGGAAATAGCAGAAAAGTTGTGTTTGGGGTTACTTGTCTAATGAACTCTAACACTTAAAATCCAGCTTAGGCCCTAGAACTTTTCTGACCTCATGCTTGGCCAATGAGATAAGAGTGCTAGCTCTCAAGAAGAATTTTTTAAATGTTCATTTAACTTGGGAAACACCATAGCAGCATCTATTGGTTATAAGAACACAGTTTTCAGAAACATTTGTCTCTCAGTAAGGGGTGGTTTTCTTCAGTTGTGGGGAAACGGAGTGGGGCATGTTGAAGGTGTCATTCCAAATCTAATTTAGAGTGCAATTCCCACTCAGGCTCCAAAAGAGAACAAAATAATAAGCTAAATCTATAAACATGCACCAAAGGTTAAAAACCCCTTAAATATCTGCAGGCTAATTTACATAATTACATTACATAATTCAAGAAACCTTCCTTAATTACTTCTTATTCGCACCCTTCCCCCAACTGCTTTCCATAGGTTTGTTCCAATGATTTAATCAAGGCTGTAGATGGAAGGAAGCTGGTGCTGGAGGAACAAAACAAAAGAAGCCCTCGGCTGCAGGGGAGACTGTCATTTTGTACAATCTGCTTACAAAGACCTAGGGAACCCTTCCTTTCACGAGTGACTGGCTAATTCTGGAATGTCTTTTCAGCTACACTGGGGTACATGTGTTATAATTCTAATCCTGTCACATGACTTCTAGAGACAGATCACAGCTAAACACTGAATTCTGTTAAGAATGAAGACCAAAAAATAAATAGCACCGGAGAAGAGTAGGGTGGGGAAAGATTGAGAATGATGCATGTGTTTAAAGGAACATGAAACGGAAACTTATAGTTAGTAGAACCAACACTCACAGGAAGAGGACCCAAATCATTAGGATTCAAAGACGCCTTTGAGCGCAAATGTACTGGAAATTTCAGTCGTGGATCTTCCTGGAATGAGAATGTGAAAGGAAGTTTACGTTAATGAACAGGGCAAAGAACTACTTGGCTGTTCCAGGGTCATGAGGTGTATTTTGTATCAGTGCTGCATCATCCCTGTTTGGGAATGGGAGAATCTCTCCTCCTTCTTGCCTTCAGGTCCCTGTTCCACACACAAAATACTTCATATTCTATCTCCAGCTTCCATCATATATGCTGGGATGTGCTTCATTATCATTTCTGTCTCAGAATCCTTGATTTTCTTCAAAACTCAGCTCAAATGCCACAGAAAACCTTTCCTGATTCCACTCTCCCCACTATGTATTCTCTTCCCAAACTACCTCCTATTCATTTTGTACACATTATCTACGTACTTTGTCTTTCCTATTAGAATGTAAGTTCTTTGAAAGCAGGCATTGTTTCACTTTTTTCTTTGTATTTTATGTACGGTGCCTGATACCTAGCAGTCCTTAAAAACTGAGCATCACTTATTTGATTTATTCACTTACAATGTGCAAGGTAGCATCAGTATTTTGGAACAACTTATTCCTGCCTAGTCTAAATGAGCAGGTAGAGGAGGAGGAATTCACATAAGCATGGAATTTTAGAATGGCTGGATCCTGATGTATTGTCTAATAGAACCCATAGCTGAACAGGAACCTCCTTGACAACAGCTCAGATCAACTCATACAGTTTCTTCTTCAAAAACTCTCATCAAGGGATGCTGAGTGAAGTGAGCAGAACCAAGAGAACATTGTACACAGTAACAGCCACGTTGTGCGATTACTAACGTTGTTAGACTTAGCCCTTCTCAGCAATGCAAGGATCTAAGACATCTCCAAAGGTCTCATAATGGAAAATACTATCCACATCCAGAGAAAGAACTATGGAGTCTGAATGTAGATTGAAGCATACTATTTGCTTTCTTTTTTTCTTTTGTTGTTTTGTTTTGTTTCCTCTTTCTTGTGGTTCCTCCTATTTGTTCTAATTCTTACTTATAAGATCACTAATGTGAAAATATGTTTAATAGGAATATATATGTATAGCCTGTATCAGATTGCATGTCATTTTGGGGAGGGAGGGGAGAAAAATTTAAAACTCAAAAGCTTATGAAAGTGGTTGTTGATCAATCAAAATAAATTAATTAAAAAAAAACTCCCATCAAGGGAAACCCTTTTGCCATCTAAGGCTTGTTGTTGTTCCATCACATCCCACTCTGTGACCCCATTTGGGGCTTTCTCGGCAAAAGTACTGGAGTGGTTTGCCATTTCCTTCCCCAGCTCATTTTACAGATGAGGAAACTGAGGCAAACAGGGTTAAGTGACTTGCCCAGGGTCACACAGCTAGGAAGTATCTGAGGCCAGATTGGAACTCCAGAAGATACTGGCACTCTTATCCACTGTGACACCTAGCTACCTTTAAAGGGGGAACCGAGGCCTAAGGAGGTTAAGTCACTTGCCCAAGGTCACATATGCAAATGAGATTCGAATCCCAAAATTCTGACTCTACAGCCAGTGTCCTTTTTAACTACATTACAATGAAGTGCTATCATATGGAAGAAGTATCAAACTTGTTCTTGGTTCCAGGGGGCAGAACTAGGAAGAGTGGGTGGAAACTGCAATGAGTGACAAGATAAAGGAAAATTTCCTAACAATTAAAATTGTCCAAAACTACACTGTGCAGCCCTGTGAAGTAACTGGTTCCTCCTCCTCATTAAAGGTGTTTCAGTAGATAATTTGCTGGGTTTATTGTAGAGGAAATTTCTGGCTAGGTACATTGCTGGGCAAAATGTCCTGGAAGTTTCCTTCCTACTTAAGAAACTGGGATAATGGGGAATTCTCTTACTTCAGGAAACAGTACTTCTATGGATTTCATTTCTCTCCCTACTAGGAAGCCAAGACAAAATGTGGAAAGGTCCCAAGTGTCTCCCCATTGCCTCTAGGATCAAATATAACTCCCCTGTTTAGTTTTTAAGGCCCTTCAAAAAATCTCATCTTAACCTCTTTTTTCAGACTATGTACATTACTACCTCTCCTACCCTCTCCAGTCCTGCCAAACCGGCCTACGTTCTGTTCCTCACACACATAACACTATGACCTCTATCTCTATATATCTCCACCGGCCATTCTCCACTACTGGAACGTACTCATTCCTTACTTCCACCTTATAGAATTCTCTTACTTCAAAGCACAGCTAAAGTACCACCTTCTATGTGAAGCTCTTCCAGATGCCCCCTCCTTCCAGTATCGAGTGCCCTCCCACTCAATCTTGTATTTTATTCACTTTGTTTACTCTGTATATGCATACATATAATGCATGTGCACACGTACACACATCTATACACACACACACACACACACACACACACACACACACTTGTTTCCCTGTTGGAAACTCCTTGTGATTGGGGATCATTTCACTCATTGTACTTGCATCCCCAGCACATACACCTGGCAGAAAAGAGATTCTTATACATGCTTGCGCTTGATTGAGATCTCTAAGTCATAGTGGCTTCAAGATCTATTGGCTGAGGATTCCAAGACCATTATGGAGGTGTGGCCCAAAATACCCTTCAACAAGTATTGTAGCTTCTGCTTCCTCAGTAGCCATAGTTATTGAAGACCCTCCTCAAAAGAAAATTCTTAAGAACAAATTCTTTAGACTGGTCAAACGATTTAACAACAGAAAGATACGGGGGGCATCGAGGTGGCACGGTAGATAGAGTGCCGACCCTAGAGTCAGGAGGACCTGGGTTCATATCCGGCCTCAGACCAAACACTTGACATTTACTAGCTGTGTGACCCTGGGCAAGTCACTTAACCCCAATTGCCTAAAAAAACAAAAACAAAAAAAAAAAAACAGAAAAGAACCGCCCCCCATAAAAGAAGATTGACCAAGTTTTGCAGATTAAATATTGATTTCTGTCATTTTTAGAATATGAGCTAAAAAACATCTTAAATTTTTCAGCAGAGTCTGAAAAGACTACAACTAAGAAAAAAACCATAGAGAATAAAGAAAGCTTTCAAATCATAGAAGATAAGGTTTGAGCCTCTATTCTTAACTACACTGAAAATTATGGGTATCTTTCCTTTTTTAATCATAGATTTACGTCTTTAAGACTATCCTGCAACCTATTCATGGCCACCATGTCTCTTCACTGCTCTTTGGAGATCTTCAGTTTTGATTCATCGGTGTTAGAATTTACATCCACATGGAATCTGTTGAAAAAGATCGTTGTTCAAAGAACTTTTGGGGGGTTGGTTTTATGGAACTGTTTGGGATAGTTTAAAGTATTGTGAAATTTGTCAAATGAAATCCAGTCTACTTTATTCTTCCTATTCAGTTCTGGGCCCAGATATTCTCCAGATATATAATTTGTCATATGTGTATTATATGTATGTGTAATAGATATATGTGTAGATGTATATACACATACATATAAACAGAGATGTGTACACACATATTATATATATATATATTTATACAATGTACATGTATATATTCACATACATATCAAACATTTGTATATATTTGGGCAAGTAACTTAACTTCCCTAGGCCTCAGTTCCCTCATCTGAAAAATAACAGGGCTGGGCCTCTGAGGTCTCTGCTAGATGAATGAGCTATAAATACTCAAAGCTAACCTTTAAAGGCAGCTAGGTGTCACAGTGGATCAGAGTGCCAGTATCTTCTGGAGTTCCAATCTGGCCTTAGACATTTACTAGCTTTGTGACCCTGGGCAACTATGTACATTGTATGTGGACAGATATAGACAGATACACATGTGTACACGAGTATACATTTACACGTGTGTACATATATACATCCATCTACATATACGTATTTATCACACATTTGTACACATAGCCAGCTGGAGAGTCAGATAGATAGATAGACAGATACACAGACAGACTCATTCAATGGCTTCTACATTCCAACTGCATTTCACATCTGGATACGAGGTATTCTTTACATTACATGGCTATGACTATTAGGCCAGACTCTTTAGAATGGTTATAAATTCAATAAACAAACATTTATTAAGTAGCTGTAACATGCAAAGGGAGAGACAGTATGACATAGCTGATAGGGAGACAGCCTTAAAGTCAGAAAGATCTGAATTTAAATCACTGACTGTATCCAGGGATGTCGTCACTCTACCCCCTCAGCGCTCAATGTTAAGGCTATGAATTACAGAGTAGCAGAGAGATTTTCCACATTGAGAGTTGGACCCACTAAAAGAGTCAAAGATTTAGACTGCAAAACAAAAGTGGGCACGACACTGTACAATGCAATGTCCTTGGGATATACATAAAAACAACAACAAACCAATACCCTCCAAATAGCAGACAATTTATTAGGGTCAGAACAGAGGAACAACGTGTAGACAGACACCTACATATGAGATAATTTCATAAGAAAGAGAACACTAACAAGGGGGTGTGTGCTCTGGAAGCTGACTCAGAGTGCAGTCTTAAAGGCTGCTTGAGATCCCTGAAGGAGCTCCATTGAGGAGCATCTCTAAGACTCTAGAGGTGATTGCATCAGCACAGTGTCTCCTATGAAGAGGAAGATATGGTGGGCTTCCCATCTAAAAGCCATCCCTTTTCCATTTGGTTTCTATCCTGGACATCCACCACGATGGTGGAAAACACTTTTGACAAGCATCCCTCTTTCTGTTTTAAGTCTCTCGCTATCCTTATCTCTATCTGACACACATGGCTCTGGAGGAGAAAGTGAGGCTGCCGACTTTGCACACCCCTCCCTCTCTTAAATCCAATTCACTTGCAAGGTACGACATCATCTTCCTGATGTCATGGTCCTCTTCAAGAACAAAAAACAAAACTACAACCACAAGAAAATGTGATAGGCTATAGAAAAGCATTTATAAAAGTTTGCTTGTTCCTTAATTTTTGTCAAGGATATGTGTGTCTGGGTGTGTTCAGGTCATTCTCATAAAGATTTTGTAGAGATGAGAAAACAGGGTTAGGTATCAAGAGCTGCTGACATCTT